TATTATATACTATAAACATTATATTATATATTACTTATAATATATTTACACATTATATTATATATACTATATATACTTATACACATTCATACATTTTATAAAATTAGTTAATTGTTACATTTCTCTATATTTCTCTTTAAAGAAAAAAACTAGTTACTTGTTACATTTCTCATATTAATATTAGATTATTAGTTAATGTTTCTACATTTATCTTTAAACTAAAAAAGTATTTAATTGTTATATTTATCTACATTTCTCTTTAAAGAAAAAAAAAACTAATTAATTGTTACATTTCTCATATTAATATTAGTTAATTGGTACATTTCTCATTAAAGTAAAAAACTAGTTATTTATTACATTTCTCTGCATTTCTCTTTAAAGTTAAAAAAAAAACTAGTTAATTGTTACATTTCTCTACATTTCTCTTTAAAGCAAAAAAACTAGTTAATTGTTACATTTCTCTTTAAAGTAAAAAAAAAACTAGTTACTTGTTACATTTCTCATATTAATATTAGTTAATTGGTACATTTCTCATTAAAGTATTAATTAGAAGTAGTTCGATTTTTTTTTTCAAGGAAAAAAATTGTTACATTTGATATACTCATATTTTAGTTCGAATATGCTATAATTTTTTTAGTCACATTTTATTATTACTATTGTACTCATATAAAATATTTGATATAATTTAATATTTGTTCAATTTTAAAGATGGACCATGATAGACATTCTGTAGATATGGGTAATCTCCAACGCAACCGGAAGAGGGAGATTGCGACGACTCATCCTAGTTCACGCAAAGGCAAAGGTAAAGCGTGGGCTAGGTCTTCTTTTCAAACTTGAGATGATTTTGAAACGGATTACCAACGGAGAGATGCTATGGCGATGTCCAACGACCAACTACATAACCTATTGTCCCAAAATGATCCACACTTTGCACAAGAACAACAATTCCCGACATCCATTGACGAAGATGAGCTCGGGGATGAGGATGCGGGGGAGGACGAGGGGGGAGGGGGGGCGACGGCACCACAGATGATGAGCAAGAGTTGGAGGACGAGGGCGGGGTCATCCCAAATTGGTAAGAAATCTAAACCTCCTATTATTGAAAACAATTTTACAAAAAGGAAAGACAAAAAAACCGATAAATGGTACGCAAGTTGCAATCATTGCAACAAAGAGTATAGCTTGGGAACTTCTGGCGGATACGAGAGTCTGACAAGGCATCTTAAGTCCGCGCACTTAGTGGAGTATGCGAATATAGATAAAGGCAAGGGGAAACAAACACAAATATCAAGGTTTGCAAATTCTCAACCCTTTGGTAATTTATCCTATGATGATCAAAAACATTTGACTGGTATGTCTCATTTAATTGTTGAAGAAAATTTACCTTATATTTTTTCCCAAAGTCTTGCTTTAAGAGATTATGCTCAAGATACTTTAAATCCTCAATTTAGAAATTATAGTCGCAAAACGATTAAAAAAGAAGTTATAAGGCAATATAACTTGGAAAAAGAAAAACTACAAACATTATTTTTCGCAAACTTTGATGGATGTGTTAGTATTTGTAGCAATATATGGGAGGATACTTATCATCATTTATATTATTTGGGTCTTACTGCACATTATATTGATGATGGTTGTAATATGCATAAACATGTTCTTGCTTTTCGTGAATTTAATGATCGACACACTGCTGATAATATTTATCTTCTCATTGAGCGTATTTTAATTGAGTATAATTTGATTGATAAGGTGTTTGTTGTACGTTTTGATAATGCTAGTAATAATACTGCTGCTATACCTAGATGGTGTGAATTGTGTGGTGCTTCTACATTGATGGGTAGGTTTTTTCATCAACTGTGTGCATGTCATATTCTAAATTTGTGTGTATAAGATGGGCTAGCGGCATTAGGAAATGTTTTGGAGGTAGTGAAGGGGGAACTAAATTGATTTGAGATAATACTCCACTAAAAATGCAATAACGGCAATATTTGAAGGATAGACGTGTCAATTATTGTGTTTTTCCTAAAGATTTGTCTATTCATTGGAATAGTACTTATAACTTAATTAAAGTACTTATTAGATATAAAGATCATTTTCCTGCTTTTTAAAGAAAATCTTGTAACTATATTATAAACCCGGCTGACATCGACACTTGTGAAAAAATTGTAAATGTTTTGGTATATTTTAATAATGCAACTCAAACTTTTAGTCATGTTTATAAACCTACCTTTAACGAATTTTTTGTTGAAGTTGTTAATCTTGTCGGCGCATTTTGTGAATTTGCCGATGCCGCTTACGTTAGTTATTTTGTGATTTCATGAAACAAAAGTTTTTAAAATATTATTCACATATTCCTCATATATATGGTATTGCATTTATTCTTAATCCTCGTTATAAACTTTCTTACTTGGGAAATTGTATAGATTACTATTATGCTTCTTTTTTTCCAACTCAAGAGTTCGATGATAATCTCATAGACCCTAAACAAGAATTCAACGAGGTTAGTAATTTATTTCATCAATTGTATAATGAATTTTATGCACAATATGGTAATGCACCCCCTCCCCTGTCGCGAACATCTTCTTCATCTAAAGGAAAATCACTTTTAAAATCTGCATTTGGTTCTCTTTTGAAAAAAAGTAAAGCAACTCCCGCTAATGAACAAAGCGCAGTTAACGAGCTTTCTTTGTATCTAACATTGAATGTTGATTATGAAGTTGGGGATGACTTTGACGTTCTCAAGTGGTGGAAGGAAAATGATGAAAGAACGTTCCCGATTTTATCAAAGATGGCTAAGCAAGTGCTAGCAATGCCGATATCAACAGTTGCCGTGGAACAAGAATTTAGTGCGGCCGACAATGTCCTAACCGATTATAGAACGAGATTGGGCCCGAGATCTCTTGAGACGCTTGTTTGCTTCCACGATTGGTTGAAGGCCCAACGAAGAACTCAAGACATGAGCATCGCTCCCACCCGCCACTTTATGGAGGAAACAACCGAAGGCGGAGATTCCGATTGATTATTTATCACAAAATATGTTACATTTATTAAATTCATCCTAATTCTCAATTGTACTTCTTATTTGAAATAAATATACTTGATTTTTTTATATTATTGTGTATTCCAATTCAAGAATCAACAAAAAAAGCCCGGAACCGGACTGGACCGGCCCGGTAAACCGCCGGGTGGCCCGGCCCGACCCGGAACCGCCAGCCACCCGGGGCCGGTTCCGGTTCCCTTCTTCCAAAACAAAGGCTCGACCGGGCTCAGGCCCGAACCGGAACCGGCCCGGCCCGGGTCCATCCCTACGTAGGACAATTTCTTTTGGTTTTATACAAATAAATGTATAATGCAAAACTACACATATTTATGTAAAAAAATGGGATTTTATATAGAACTTTTACTTTTGGATTTTTATATACTTGTTTTAAATTTTAATTATTTATTTTATGGCGGTACGTTTGCTTCCACTTTTTTCTTTTATGCGGGAAAGCTTTCCCAAGCAACAATTTTCATTCATGAGAAATGGAAGGTCAATGAAGGTGAATGTCAGAATGTGGGTGAATCTTTTCCACCACAAAGGTTAATAAACCAAAGGATGCGATCATACCAGCACTAATGCACCGGATCCCATCAAAACTCCGAAGTTAAGCGTGCTTGGGCGAGAGTAGTACTAGGATGGGTGACCCCCTGGGAAGTCCTCGTGTTGCATCCCCCGAAGAAAAAAAAAGGTTAATAAACCAATTTTTTGACTCCTTATGGGTTGTAGACTTTTCAGAGGTGAATAGATTCAGCATGAGTTTTCCACCACATTCACCCCATGACTTAGAAGTATAGTCTCATGATATGATGATAATGGAGAACAAGCACCCAAAATTTATAGGCAAAAAAACGCATGATTAGCTCAAATAGTACTCATGAAGGAAGATAGGAATGCGAGAATTATACAAAGCCTATCTATTGTGGTTTTGCATAATAGGATTATTTTGTCACAAGTAAATGGAAGCAATAACTCAAAGTAACAGTGTCAGGCGCAAAGGTAGTCCACTTCAGCTCTTGTGACTTTCTGTTTCATTGTTCTGATAAACAAGAAAAATACGAAGTCGGCAAAATAATTGCCCCAAAATGGTTAAACAAAAAATGCAATACACCACTTATCAAATTGATGATGACAAATTCATCTATTTAACTACATGGCATATTCATGAAATGAATAAGTCTATCAGGCACCAACATAAAAGTATAAAACTATTAGTAACTCTAATGGTAAGGTGTCGTGATTTCGGATTTTCAGTTATTAACATGGTGCAAAACTTAAGCTCCATTTGACTGACCTATTTTTTTACTGTATCAGAAAATGTTTTTGGATTTCCTGTGTTTGGTGGCGGTAATGGGGAAGTCATGTTCTTAGTGTAAATAATCAAGGGTAAGACAATTGCCGTTTAAAATAAGCTTGTTGCAATTCAATGTAATGAGTACATTCCTAACTAATTTGTTTAGCCTTGATGCTGTGTTTCCTTGCCAAGATCTTAAATTAAGTTAAGTGGAAAAGAACTTAATCTCTGTTGTGCTGGAATCATGCTAAACATAATATATACTGGACACTACAGAACTTTTTATGTTTTGTTCATCAATAACAAGTTGCTAAGCAAGACTTTAAGCGGCCTATTAAAATCTTACTTCACTTCACCCTGATCAATTAATCACAAAGTCTCCGGGAACAATTGACATCGTCTAGTTTCTGCTTGGTTACACATATAATTAAGCATAACCACTTTAAAACCATTTTAACCCAACATAGTAATATCGGCAGAACATGGAATAATCATTAAATTGACTAGAATGAAAAAATTCCACTTTTGGTCCCATGAGTTTTGCACCAATTCCACATTTAGTCCCCGTCTTTCACTTTATCCATTTTTGGTACCTGACTATTGTTTTTTTGACCATTTTTGGTCCAACTCCGGGCATTTTTACTACCGGAAAAGGACTATATATGGTCAAGAAAACAATAGTCAGGTACCAAAAATGGATAAAGTGAAAGACGAGGACTAAATGTGGAATTGGTGCAAAACTAGCAGGACCAAAAGTGGAATTTTTTCGACTAGAATTCACAGCAGTACTATGTATTGTGCTTTGCAAAACACAAATTAGTGAATTACTATCAACAATGTGTCTAACCCACATTACAGAATTACTCTAAACCATAGCAAAAATATCTTACTATTAGTAACAATTTTGCGTACTAAACGAGCATTTGAAAATTTATACCTTCTTCCTTCTTCTCTACTTCCGCCTTATCTTCTTCTTCATTCTTCTGCTTCTCTAACCTCTCCTTCTCCATTTTCTTTTCCCATGAAATTAATTAGGACAAAAAAATCAATCTCCAAATTAGATATATGGATACATACAAACACACGAGAGTACATGAGATGAAGACATTCATAGAATAGACTTATAGGAGGGTGATTAATTGATTATTATACTTGAATATAGAGGATCTCTTTAGCACGCTGTTCATCACTGAGGATACGACCTGATCCATTGCTGAAGCAACAGGAACCCATAGCTGATAATCGGCCGGCGAAGGAGCTACATTCCGTTAGACGACGAAGGCCAGAGCTCGAAAAGGCAGATCGCAAAGCCATATTTTTGGGTGATAATAAGAATGACGAACAACAAGCCCTAATAAATCGTACGGAATATGGCATTTTGAATGTCTTGCCCCGTGGAACAAGTAAAGGGCAATTGCAGTTTTATTTGACCAGGCAGTTTACCTTAATAAGACCAAAATATGTTTTTTTTCAAAATAGGAGCATCTAGTTTAAACTTTAAACATCCTTAAATATGACTTTTTGTTAGTGATTGGACCAAAATACCCATCACAGCCTTTACTACTGCTGCCCAGGGATTGCCGGACTGCCGCCTACCGCCTACCGCCAGTCGCCCTCCGCTGCCGGAGTTCGCTGCTGCCGCTGCCGCCGAGCCAGACTGCCCCCGCTACCAACGGACTGCCTTGGTTGTGCAAGAGAACTGGGGGCAATTAATTAACCCAATTAATTGCCGGAGTTCGCCGCCGCCGCCGGAATCCGCCGCCACCACAGACTGCCCCGCCACCGACGGACTGCCTTGGTTGTGCAAGACAACTAGGGGCAATTATTTAGATCAATCAATTAATTAATTAATTAGAATTAGGGGTAAAAAAGCTAATGTTAGTCCTATATTGGACACTTTTCTCAAAAACAATTTTTTGGTGAGGAAAAGAGGAACTAATAATTTTACCTTTTATTTGTTTCATTGAATAATTTCCTCTGATCGTAGTCTCATAATAATTCTACTTTTATATCTCATCTTCTTTCGATGGTCCTTGATTGATCGATGACCTGTTTATTCCATGTTTTTTATCATTAAACCATAAAACCACGCCTTCTACAAATCCTTTTCAAAACGGTCTTACATATTATTTTTCTTTTTTCGTAAGAGGTATCCTTCTTCTTTCTTTATTCTCAACGTTTTTATTCATTTTTCTTCTTTTTGATTTTATGAGAAAAGTACAAAGAAGACACATGTGATTGAGAAGGTTTTCGGACAAAGTCACGTGTTTCATTTTTAAGAAACTAGGTCATGTGTTTCAATTCCGTTATCACAGGAGAGCCTTGGCGCCAACAACGTAAGAAATCATTGTAGGAAGACGATGAAAAGTATATTAGTTTTTTTCGGAAGAAAGATACTCCCTCCGACCCTAAAAGAACTTCCATTTCGCTTTTCGAGAGTCAACTTAAATCACTCTTAAACTCTTACTTTATATATCAAAATTTTATGAAAATATAATTATTTTTTGCAAGCTTTGTAGCGGTTTTAATGTAGTTTTTGAATATGTAAATTTTATTTACTAAAAATAATCCGAGTTTTTACAGGAATCATTTAACTTTATCGTTGGTCAAACTTCGTAACCCGCAATTGGAAGAACATTTAGGGACGGGGGGAGTAATTAATTACTATTAATCAAATCATAATTCAGCACATCAGCAATAAAATGAGGCGGACTAAATAACCAATACGGACAATCAGACATAGAACTCGCTGCCATTGCCATCACATGTGTAGCTCGATTCGCAGATCGTCGAACATGAGAAAAAGACACACTAACAAAACTCGTCCTCAATTCTCTACTATCAGGACGTGCGTCTCGTCAAGGAGACCAAACCATCTTCCTCTTTGAAATTTTTGGGTCTGTTTGGATTGTTTTTAAAAACAAATACGCTCATATTACTTTTCTGGTTCACTTTCCGGCTACAAGGGTCCATTATGTAACAAAAAAAGAAAAATGTCCCGGAGGCGGCTTGATGGGATGTACCTCCGAGTATTTTTCATTGAATTTTGCCGAGCACTTTTGAAAGTCGGAGTTACTATTTATCATCTTTCTCCACCGATTTCTAACGGCGTTAGCGCCATGCCCCTTGTTACAGTTTGGAACGCATGACCCTATCTGAAAACGGGTTCAACTACGTGTACTTTTTATGTACTATTAACTATTCCCTATTTTTATTTATTTACCTTGTTTGTGTATTCCTTTGTTCATTTACCAACAAACTTTATTATACAATTTTTCTCTCTTATTTTTTCGTGTTTCTTATTCTCTATTTTTATTTTTTCCCTTTGTATGTGTTCTTATTCGTTGTAGTCTTTTTTTGTAATTTTCCCGACAAGTTTATATTTTTCTTTGAATTTTTCAGAAAAGAAAAATACATATTGGTGGTGAAATTAAGGTAAGAAAAAGGAAAAAAGGAAATAAGTAAGTGGAAGTAAAAAGAAAGTTAAGTAAAACATTAGTAAGGTGATAAAAAGATATTTTATAAGAACAGAACTAATCCAAAAAAATACATAGAAATAGAAATGAAATAATAAACAGGTAGAAGGGAAAAAAAAGGAAAAAATGGAATACATAAACATGAAAAAGAAAAAAAAAATAGTATGAAACCGAAAAAAGGAATTGAAGAGTCAAGGGGATAAAAGTAAGAGAAAATTATTATAAATATTACTAAAACTCGTGTTTTCCTAGAGTATGTGAGACTGTGTTGAGATAATTTGTGAAAGGTGAGATATATGATTTAATGATTCACAAAGAAAATAAATCTGGAGTTGTGGCTCATCAACCGGTTATGTATGGATGAAAGACGTGGTGAAAATGTGATATTATTTCTAAATTTGTAGATGGAATTATTGTAAGAAAACCATCAAAAGGTGAAATTCTTAATTTCTATTTCCCATTGATAGTATATTCGTTGTGAATTTGTTATGAGTGTATGTTTCCATGTAGTTAGTTCAAAAGAGCTTAAATCGACTATTGTAGGGCTGTTTGTTTACCATGTTTGTTGGCCTATAATCAACTATCTTCGTTTTTTCACCAAACATGTAATTATTAATTTCTCATTTTAAATAATTAACAGAGAAATAACGGTAGGCGTATAACTAATAGGCTTTTCCTTTCAAAAAATATAACAAGTTTGACATCTTCCAAAAATGTGACCTGTTTTCCTTCGCCCAACAGATCTACACATTTCTCTTCTCCGCAGCCATCGACGGAAGACATCCCACGCGGCCACGCCTAAGCTGAAAATGTCGAAGCCCCCCCTTCAACGATCGAGCTTATCTGCCTTCTTCGCGCTTCTCACCTTGTCGCATCCGATCATCCCCAGCTTCTCACCTTCATCATCGACCACGACTCCACCACCAACGCGACACCATCAAAGCAGATGGAGACCACCATTGCAACGCCATCGAAGAAGACGAAGCCCACCAGTACGACGACGACAAAGATGGTCTACATCAGCGACGAAAGCTTCATCTTCTTCTTTTTTGCCATCTCTGTTCAGAGCTGTTTCACATGGGGCTATGGGCTGGGGCGAAGAGGGTGGTGGCTGTCGGGGCAAGGATGCGTTGCTAGTCGGTGCTAGGGGCGGATCCGGTTGTGGAGAGGTTGCTAGGCAGCGCTGGGGGCGGATTCGGTTGTGGTAAGTTGCTGGCTGACGCGGGGGGCGGATTTGGTTGTGGCACGTTGCTGCCCGGCGTTGGGGTGGATCTAGCAGGTTGCTGGGCGGCGCTGGAGAGGAGGTTGGGGCTGAGAAGGGCTGGGGAGGTGGCTGGGGGGAGGTGGCTGGGGGATGGGGAGTTGATCTGAGTTAGGGTTGGGGCGGCGGCCAGGGGTGGCAGTGGCTTTAGTGTGGAATATGGCTGAGTAACTGTGGCCGGTGGACCGGCAGTCACAGTGATCAGAGTCAGTGTGGCCGGTGGCTGGGGTAGTCACTGTAGTCGCTAGGCGGGTAGTCACGGTGTCCGAAGTCACTGTGGCTGGAGTCACTTTGATCGGAGTTTCTTTGGCCGGAGTCACTGAGATAGTGACCGGCGGTGGTGGTGCTGACGGCGGCGGCAGCGGTGCTGGGGTCGGCGGCCATAAGACTACTAATCAAATATATAAAATGAATATTAAAATAATAAATACGGAGTATATGATTAAATACAAGGAATATGACTTTTAGTCACATTTTTGGGAAAATTTAAAACATGTCACGTTTTTGTCCTTTTCATTCATTTTAGTAATATTGGAATAAAAATGTCATTAACAGATTGATTATTTTAGTAAATAGAATTTACCTATTCAGAAGCTACATTAAATGTTTTATAATACGTGATCAAGAAAAATTAAATTGATAGAAGTTGGATATATAATATAAAAGATTATGATCAATTCATGTTGACCGGAGAATAGTGGACAAGATTTAAATGGAATTTACTTTTGTTCATAATAAATAAAATTAAATTTACTTTTGTTCCTGTAATTAAAGTTAGAGCCTGTTTGATGGCACTGTTTTTTGGCTTATCACACTTATGAACCAATTTTTTCATCAAATACGCAGATTTCGTGCGCTGAGTTGTGCAATACGAGTAATAAGAAATGATAAGATTGAAGTTACTTCTATGGCTGTATTGACTGAAGTTACTATAGATGATCATTTTAGCCATTTTTCCATATACTACCTCCATCCTGGTGGACTTTGCCAAGTGCAAAGTAGGTGAGAAATAAGAATAGTAACAATTGTATGGTTGAGATTTGTGCAGAAGAGAGAGAAATGTGCAGAAACACAAATTAGTTGCTTTAATAGAAAAGTAACAAAGTTTTTTGGGACAATCAAAAGGAGAAAGTTGACAAAGTCCAATGGTACGGAGGGAGTATTATTTTTTGGAATAAGGGAATGGTTTTTTCTTTATTTTATTAATAAAAATATTTTAAATATAAATTTTTCATAAATCAGCAGAATCTAGTCACTTCAACCAAAACTTGAAAAAGCCGAAAAACCCATATTGAGCTGTTAGTAGGGCTGAGCAAAATCCGATCTGACCCGAAAAACCCGATATTTTTTCCGGATATTATCCGAACCGAAGTGGATATCCGACCCGAAAAACCCGAAACCAAAAATCTGATTAGTATTGGGCCTAGACCGGGTGGCGGGTAGGGTTTGTGAAATCCCAACCCGACCCGCCCGAATATCCGAAATATAGGTTAGTGTGTACTTTGAATATTTAAATTAATACTTGTGTTCAATTATTTGTGTAATTATTTGTGCAATTTGTATTAAATTATTTGTGTAAATTGAATGTGTAGTGCACTAATGTGTACAATTTTTGTCAAAGTGGCATTCCAACACTTTAATTATCCAATTATAAGGTGTTTTTAATATAACAGAAATATCTGAAATATATTACATTATGTAGTGTGTACTTTGAATATGTTAAATTAATACTTCTGTTCAATTATTTGTGTAATTATTTGTGCAATTTGTGTTAAATTATTTGTGTAATTTGGAAGTTTAATGCACTAGTGTGTACAATTTTTGTCAAATTGACATTTAAACACTTTAATTATCCAATCATAATTTTTTTTAAATATAACCGAAATATCTGAAACTCGTCCCGATATCCGATAATATCCGACTTAAAAATATCCGAAATACCCGATTTGAAATATCAAAGGGTCGGACCTAGTATTTAAATTAAAAAACCCGAACGGATTTAGGGTTTGCAAACCCGACACGCCCGAACCCGACCCGTGCACAGCCCTAGCCCGAACGGAGTAAAAGTGTAAAACTGTAAAAGCCGAAAATCCCATATTGAGCTGCTGTTGGTGTAATTGTTTCTCCTATCGATATACAAAAAAACTGGGGGGAAGTTGATCGGAAAATTCGCCGAGAAAAATGGTGTCGGCGAACAGAGAAATGGCGGTGTACTGCTTCGATACCTTGGTGGCTCACTACAATCGCGAAAAACCTCCCCCTCCTGCCTTCGATGACGGTGATCAGTAAGCCTCTCTTTACCCCCATAAGCTAAAAGAAAAAGAATAAATCTGTGGCTTCTAATTCATGACTGCGTATTTTTTAAGACAAATTCTCCTTTTCAACAGTACTTATTTTATTTTATTTTATTTTATTTTATTTTATTTTATTCATTAGTAAGTTTCTACATTTTATAGACGCAGTTCTTCTGCATAATTTCCCCCCTCCCCACTTTAAAGGTTCTTTCAGGAACCTTCCTAAAGTAGGGCGAATTCAAAAATTGACTTTATGGTAAGGTAGAAAGTATTTTTTTTTAAACGTGCATGAGACTCTAAGAATGAGCTATATCCGGAGTAATTTATTATGTTACTAATTTTAGTTTATATAGAGAAAAGAAGTGAGCTGATAACCATAGCCCCATTTTCAGAAATCTAGTTTTTTTTTTTTTTTAATTGGGACTCTTCCAAACACTCATATTTCTGCTTCTCCATTTACATTGTTTTTTCCCCTACAGATCAATTGAAAAAGTATGAAAGCTTTAATTGCATTTATTTACATTTGGATGAAATGTTATTTTTCTGTTTTGCAGTCCATTATTTGTGACATGGAAGAAAGTGGAGAATGGTGGTGAACCTAGTCTGCGTGGTTGCATTGGTACTTTGAAACCATACAACCTAATTGAAGGCTTTAAGAATTTTTCTCTAGCAAGGTTTGTGGGTAATATAAAGTACATTATAAGTTATGCTTCTTTTTAAAATATACCGCTGGATGTTTGCAGTATCAATTGTGAGTGGTCAAAGACAAGGAGATGAAATTGTTATTCACTCTTAGACTTGTATTATAAAGATATCATTTTTTTGAGTTATTCTTTATAAATATGGTTCTTTATAACTCCATTCTTTCCTGTAATAATAAAATTTAGTACACTAATTTATTGGTAGGACACCTAACAAGAATTTGGACAGCAGATTTTATGTATGGCATGAATGTGAGCTTTCCACAACTTTTTCTTATAGAGCATTTGAGTCTTTGAGATGACTTATTTTCAAGGTTTGTTGCTTTTCAGAGAAGGGAAAGTGCTCTTACTTTAAAAGAAGCGTGTGTCAAAAAACATAACAAACATGCTTTTAACCGTAAAAAACAGTTAATGATTAATTAGGAAAGCAGCATATTAGTGCCTGTCTGGGTTGGCTTATAAAAGCTAATTTCTAAAAAAGCACTTTATTAGGCACCAATGTGGTGAGTTTTTGTTGAGTAATGTGATTTTAACCCTACAAAAGCAAAAAAAATCTTGACTTCACAAACTCAATGTGACATCGCAGTGCTTCATAGTAGACTAGGTTATGTTGCAATCTTCATCCATCAATAGCCTTCATTACCAGAGCTCTTTAAAATCTCTATTAGAAGGTTCTTATAAAGTTACTTTGCTTGTACCTCCTTTACTATTTTTCTTATTTATATGCAGAAGTAGCACACTAGCGTATCATATAATGCTAGAAATATACCAACTAATAATAATCAATGCACCACATACTTGCTAAATGGATAGATAAAAAGGTCCACAAAAATAAAAAAATGTGGACAGTCAAACAGGATCTGTGGAAGTATCTTCAGTTTGTCTATATTATCTGGCTCAATGTTTTTTATTTGGTACAGTGCTCTTGAGGACCGCCGTTTCGGCCCAATACAGGCTAAAGAATTGCCTACACTTGAATGTACAGTGTCCGTTCTTGCTAATTATGAAACTGGACGTGATTATCTTGACTGGGAGGTATCGTTCTGTACATCTACTCCACATACTTCATTTCTCTTTTACTTTGTATTAATCCATTATTATTGATAGCCTTTTCTGAAATGCCACTGTGGAAGTGTTGTGACAGAAGATTCATCTGATAGAGAACAGTTAAAGTGATCAAGTCTTTTTATTGTACTCTTCGATTTCTGTATACTGTTAGGGGCAGATCTAGCCGTACAGGAGGGGCATCTGCCCTGAATAACATTTAAGTATATATAGTAACCTATTAACAAGATAGATATTCAGAAACGCACACACTTCTACCCTATAAATATTTCATTTTGGTCCAACAAAAAGCCCAGATTGAAAAGAAAGCCTCTTGTTAGAGATATTTTGATTATATTGTGATCAATGTTACTTAGCCTTTTGTAATAATTTATTTATCATAGAATAAGCCTTAAATGGAAAAGGCTACTGAGCTAAATTAGGAATGGGCCTCCTAAAAAGGAGAGCCCATATCATTGTAAAACCTACCATTCTAAGGAGACTATAAATAGACCCCTTAGGAATGGCTAGGTTAAGCTTTTCAATACATTCTCTGTGCCGCAGTGCCTATTTGTGTGTAAGGTTTTTACGCTAAGTTTTCACATCATTCTGTAAAACCTTCACCATCAATGGAAAGCTTCAATCCCAGATCTGTCTTCCATACTCATACATTTTAGAATAGAAAACAGGGACCTAACATCTGGTATCAGAGCAGGAGCTGATCGATCGATTGAAGGCTGGAAAAGCTCTTGCGCGATTCTTCATCGGCGAAGATTTTGCACTTGAGCGATCTTCTGTTCTGTTTTTGTTGTCATTTTTGCAGGAAAATGTTTACAGGAAAATGTTTCTAGGCTTGCAAGGATTCACTCTGTGAAAAATCGCACCCTGAAATTTGGCGTACAGGTTAAGCCAGATTTGAGCGATTCTGCATTTTCGCGCAACTCCCAGGAAAGAAGAACAGGTTTAGCGCAAGTAGCCTCCTGCGCGATCTCAAACTTTGCGCAACACTACTTGCACGATCTGGAACTTACGCCAACTCCAAAAGCTTGAGCGATCTCAACTTTGCGCAAACTCTCTTGCGCGATTTCAACTTCAGGAAAAACTCTCTTGCACGATTTCAACTTCAGGAAAAACTCCCTTGCGCGATACAACACTTGAGCTATTTCGTCCTTGCGCGATCTAGACTTGCCCGATTTCCAATTTCGCGCAAACTCATTTGAGCGATTTTTTTTAGAAGTTGAGCAATCTTTTGGCAAGTTGAGCGATCTTTTGGCAAGTTGAGCGATTTTTTTTAAGAGTTGAGCGATCTTTTGTAATAGTTGAGCAATCTTTTGTAAAGTTGAGCGATCTTTGTAAAAGTTGAGCGATCTTTTGAGAGCTGAGCGATCTTTTGTAAAAGTTGAGCGATCCTTGACTTGCGCGATTTTGACACTTACTGACCTGAAGTACCAAACAACAAACAGGACTCAATCAATCAACTGATCAGCCCGATCATTTAAAAATGGATGCTTTGTCTATTGGAAACGACACAAGACCCCCGATTCTACGAAGAGGAGAATATAATGTTTGGAAGAACAGATTCCTTAATTTTCTTGAGAGTAAGGACCAATCATCTGGACTTCTTGAGTCCATCACCAATGGCCCTGCCCAGCTACTCATTGCTGTTGAAAGAGACAATGGGAACAATCCACCGGTTGAGATAGAATGGAGACCCAAGACAGTTGATGAATACGATGACGAGGACCGAGCTAGAATCCGAGCTGATTTGCTTGCTAAGACTTATCTGTTGCAGGCCATCCCGAACGACATCTACATGCAGATTGACAGCATGTCAACGACAAAAGAGATGTGGGATGAAATCTTCAAAATTATGCAAGACACGGAGATCGGTGTGAAAGCGAAGAAAGCCAGCACCTTCACAACATATGACTCTTTCAAAGCCAAGCTTGGAGAATCACTTGAGGATACCTATCTTAGATTCTTGCAGTTTATCAATGAGATGAGGAAGATTGGCGTGCACAAATCAAACATGGAGTTGAATGTGAGATTTCTGTCATCACTTGGAGCTGACTGGAAGAAGCTGAGTTCACAGATAAGGCACACTAAAGACCTTGACGAGATGGACATCCATGTTGTGTACAACACACTTGATCAGTATGCTGAGGATTTTTCTGACTATGTGGTTGCCACTGTGACAGCTGACAAAGGGAAGGGAGCTGTGGACAAGCTAGCTGATACCCTTGACAAACCCTCAAAGTCTGGCTCCAAGAAGGATAAGATGATAGCTGATGAAAGTGAGAGTGCTGACAGTGCCATAGGCTTCTGGGATGAATCTGATGATGATGAGCTGCGTGACTTCCAGAAGCAGATAGCCCTTCTTACCTCAAGGTTCAACAATCAGATGCAGAAAAAGAACTCCTCAAACAACAGGCTCCGCAAAACTTCAACCAGCAACAACAAGAGGAAAGAACGTTCTTTTGAAACTTCTGAAAATGGAAATCCTGAGGATGCTCCAAAGTGCTTCAACTGTGGGAAGACTGGACATCTGATGAAGGACTGCAGGATGCCTACGAGGAGGAAGGATGCTGAATATTACAAACAGAAGATAAATCTGAACAAGAAGAAGATGCTACTGACTATGGAAGAGAGCAGTGACAAAAGTGCTCTCATGGCTGAAAAGGATCACTGTATGGATGATTCAGATGATGAGGAGAATCTGGCTTTGATGGCAGTTGTTGAAGAAGAAGAGAAAGAGAAGGATGCTAATGAAGAAGGAAAGAAGAAGTCAACCCCTGCTGCTGATGAGATGAAGGAGAAAGACAAAGCTGAGAGGGAGAAGAACCTGCCTACCGCTACCAATTCTGATGAAGTGACTGCCCTTTCTGCCGAAAACAAGAATGCTGACAATGAGGTAAGCACTTCAAATCCCTCTGTTTGTACATGCTTTAAATCCAACTCGCATGATAAAGTTAAGGAGCTTGAGGAGAAATATGATAGATTGTATGATGTCTATAACAAACTGCGTGAGAAACAGACTTGCTCAAACATAAAAATAATCAATTCAGAGAAGATTATCACTAAGCTCACAACTGAGAATAAAAGACTTAGTACTAGCGAAAAGGAACTGACAGAGAAACTTAGAACTACTGAGAAAGAAAGAATTAGACTTTTTGGCGTCAACAATTTACTTATGGAAAGGAGGGGTGCTCTTTACACCAAAATTAAAGAACTTGAAGATCTGTTAGCTAAGAGGGACCAAACAGACCAGACCATTTTCCTTAATCAGCCTAAGGACACTCGTTTCTATAATGCCAAGGAGGGCCTGGGTTTGACCAATCCTCAAAACCTGAAAAAGGTCAACTGTAGACAACTCTATGATGTTAGATACATGAAAATAGGATTGACCAAACTCATGGCCTTCACTGGAGCTGAAGAAACGAATGCCCTCGAGGATGAAAAGAGAAAGACAAAGGCTGGTGTCGAGGTTCCTTTTGACTACACAGAGCTAAACAAGAGTTATAAAACAAAAAACCTTCCTTTGACCCCAGCCGAAGAAATCTTGACCTATCCTCCTGAAAAGTAAGCTGTGAAAGACGGAGAGGAAGCCTCTACATCTGAACCCATTGAGAAACCAGCTTACATTCCACCGCTGGGGAGAAAGTTCGCTGAGTTAAAAGAATCTTTTGAAAAGGAAAAGAAAGTTTTTGAAAAAGAAAGAGATGAACTTTTAAAAGAAATAACCTCTTTGAAAACCGCCTCTCAGTCTAACAAAACTTCTCAACCCTCTTCCCCTTCTTGTTCTGAAAACACTTCTGAAAATTCAAGCGATAGTTTTAAGACTTCTTCTTCTCATCCCAAGTCTCATTCTCCGACAGGGAAACATGTGAAGAAGAGAGTCGAGAAGAAAGGAGAGTGGATTGAAGACAAAATAAGAAGGAAGAAGAGAGAAGAAGAGTCGAGATTAGGGAATAAGAATCAGCGGTCGAGCGCTATATTTTATGATAAAAATAAGTCTAGTTCTATCATTAGTGAGCCCTCAAATAGTTATACTAGAAGAGCGGCTCCTAAGTCTTCTAGTTCTAAGATTTCTGTCTCAAATCGCTACACTAGTTGTACCTCTCTGAATTGCATTAAATCAATGAAAAATTGTTGTTTTGAGTCTGATCCTTCATGCAGTACAAGTAAACTTGTGATTGTTGATAATGTTGTGAAAAAGCCCAAGTTTGATAGGGTGAATGTTGAGAGTGAGGTCAAATTGCCATTTTTAAGGTATCCTCTCAAGATTCACTCAGTCAAACATCTGAGAAGGCTATCACGTGAACCAATCTTGAAAGACCATTTATCTGAACAATCACTCAGGACTAATGAAAGTTCCCTCGCTCCAAAAATCAAACAAATCAAACAAAAATGGGTTCCTAAGGCTGAAACGGAACAATTAAAAATGAAAAATTCTTCTCAACCAGCCAGCCTAGGATCCCAAATAAAAAAGTTGAAACAATTGCTCACTGTTGATAAGGAAGGACCCATCTGGCGATGGGTACCTAAGCGAAACTAATCTGTTTTGCAGGTCAGTCATGTGTGGCATCTTGATTCGGGTTGCTCGTCACACATGACTGGACAGATTGAACTACTGAGCAACTATTCTGAAAGATTCGGAGGAAATGTGAGGTTTGAGAACAATGCTTTATCACCCATACTTGGGATAGGAGATGTCATCTGTGAGAGCGTCACAATCAGAAACGTGTCGTATGTGCAGGGACTGAAGCACAACTTGCTTAGCATCGGCCAATTTTGTGACAATGGAATGGAAGTGAGATTCCATGCTAGGCAATGTTGTGTGATGGATATGAGTGGTACACCATTATTAAGGTGTCAGAGGAAAACCAATCTCTACACCATTGATCTCAAATCGGTACGATCCCCCATATCCATCTGTCTCTTGTCCAAAGCATCTGAAGAGCAAAACAATCTATGGCACAGACGTCTCTCAC